AAAGCAAGCATCTCTAATGCAATTACCGTCTTTGATAGTTATGATTGGGCGAGTGTTTGAGCATCGCTCGCGCGCGCTCAAATGGCAGGGGACCAGGCAAATTGGGACGTTGTAGCTGCCAGAAGCTGCTAAAATATATCCACATTATTCTATATTGTTTGTTTTCTTTGCAACTTGCCAACATAATAGAGAATAATTGGATTGAAATTATAAACTTGAAACTAAACAAAACTCAACGGCTTAATGGTATTGTTTGTTCTGAATTTTAAGCAGTGGTTTTGCAGTACTGGGAAACTGACTGACAGAAACTAGCAACTGAACAAAAAAGGAGACACAATGTTTCTGACATTTTAATCTTTACTCTGGTCCTTGGTAGGACAAGTGATGTGCCGAAGGGAAGAGCAGAGTGGCCGCTGGCCAGGAGAGGACTGTCACTGAAAGACACACCGATCGAACAATTTGATTAGATGGCGTCCAGTTGCAGTCAGGCGGGCAGCACGGCCAGGCAATCAAGCTTGCAATTGCCGTCTCGGGTATTGCTGAGGTGCACTAATGTCCTCTGCCAAGTAACGCAATCAGGTCTTGGGCTTCTTTCAAATGTCATCCATTTACCATTTTCTAATGCTGGGATGGCCATCAGGCACAGACACACATTCAACCGACAATTGCACAGTTGACAGTGAAAGAGAAGAGTCGTGGCAGATGGCACTGACAGTGCTCTACACTCCAATGTTGACCCTACAGAATGCAGAAAGCCGAAATTGCCAGCAGGCACCTACAGGAAGATTGCGTTCCTTTGTAAATTGACAATTTGCATTAACACTGTCTAAATAGCTAGCGGCGAGGCACCAACTGATACCAAGTGATACCTTCAAAATAATTGTCCATTAGTAAAGAGTGCCTGATTCGCTGCTGTGTCTTCCTGCTTGATTGCTTGTAAACAGACAGATGCTGTTTGTTTTACTTTACGATGTACATTTACAGAGATAGGCTAATACATTGAACATACTAATCACCCTTAAGATGACCTAAAAACAAGCCTTCTCGGACTAAACTCATTAGGGGCACTAATTATTCTGCTCAACTGACAATTTACTGGTGCCTTCACCTCAAACTCTGTCATTTTACTTAGTGCACTACCCTTCAAAGTGATGAGCACATGAGCAGGCAAACAGGCACACAGCACAGACTGCTGATTGTGAAGTAGACAAGGTTTACTGTTTTTTGTTTACAAAACCGGTAATCTTTACTGCCACAGAGCCCTGCAATCTGTAATGCCGAGTTGTCGCCCTCACTGCATTACCCCTGTGCTGGGAGCGATATTAATTTTCCATTTACTGCTGCATCCATATTCTAATTGGGATTAATGTAAGGAAGACAGTTTGCTGCTTGCCACTTCCGAGTGGGCCGCAGCAAACTTCTGCTAACCCTACACTTCGCGGGACAATGTCAAGAGCACCCGAGAATGGCCGTCCTGCGAGAAAGGCTCAGTCGTGCGCCAGTGATCCACACACAATTTGTTTGCCGGCGACGTTTTCAATTGAGGAAAGTTTCTGGGTGCTCTACTCGTGTTACCAGCTCAGTGCTAGGCTAGGCATCTATTACGCCATTTTTAACATCTGCTTGTTGTGCAAACTTGCCACTAAGCAAACTTTGCAGAGTCAAGAAAAGTGATAGCTTGTCATCAAATACTAATCGATCGCTGCTCACCAGAAGAGAGAAAGTGTACTATGGTTGAATTTAAAACACCAGCAATTTGCTTTATATTTCAATTATTTATACCCATTGTTTTCCTCTAGCAGTTAAAGTTTTTAAAATTATATATCGCTATTACAAATAAATATGAATTTAAGTTGACTTTAATGGGAGGCGTACTAGTGAAGTTTGGCACAAGCTTGGTGGCATCTAAACAAATTTTATTACTTCTAACTAAATTGCATCTTTTGTTGACTAACTTGGTACGTTAGAACTGCCGTGGCATAGTTTCCCACTGAGTTTACCCTGAATATTGTACAAGAAACTTAGTAAAGTAGCCCGGATGGTTGTAAACGGTTTTATCACCAACTGGTGCGATTCGGTCGCTGAGAACTGCTGCCTGAGCGACTAATTGGTAGAGACAAACGTCGATTATACAATTGATGATCGCTAGCATTGGCAGCATGCGATAGTGTTCTGATTATTGCCAATGGCACCGCCTAGTGTTTGCCAGTGGCGCTGGCAGAGAGAGATATCTCGGTGCCACCTTGTGTTTTGGTTACTCGCAGCAATTCCAACTGCTCACCAACGATCAACAATACCGAGCCATGTCTCGGGTAATTTTCGCTTCCGAACACACACAAGTACATTATTTTCAAACTAATGACCATGTAGAGGCCCTTTCTGTCAGAGTGTGAAGTGTGCTGTAGATTGCAACACGCAATCNATTTTCGTTTCCGAACACACACAAGTACATCATTTTCAAACTAATGACCATGTAGGGGCCCTTTCTGTCAGAGTGTGAAGTGTGCTGTAGATTGCAACACGCAATCTGACCACAAGTGACATACAGAAGTCAATCATTGTTGCATTCAGTCACCGGTGTACCGACAGTTACCTGCCACTGGCCACTTCTGCTCATTTTTTCCCCAATTCGCTAGCTCATATGCTAATTTGTTGAGATATTTACGTTTTTGCAACTCATTAACTGCATTTCAAATGTTAATGTTTACTGTAGTAAAAGACACTTAAACAAAACGTTGATAGTGCACTTATAACTTTAATGATTTCATGCATTTAGGAAAACATTTTCAAACTTTGTTTCAAACAAATGGTTGAATCATTTAAAACTATTTATATGCTAAACTAGTGGTTGTTGCGCTTTACTAATTAAACCGTTTACTTTTCATTTCAGGTTTTTGAGGAGCCAATGGATCCACCGATCCTCAACGTGCCTAGTGAAATCTGCATCAACATGCAGGCTGGCCTTGTGAGGGACTCCGTGAAGGTAGATACCAGCGACCTTACTTTGCGCACACTGAAGGAATACGCCTGCAACTTCATCGATCGAAAGGTAATGTTTTGAGCCCCACTGTGTGTCCACTTCCTAACACTTGCACCAGCCAGACACAGATGTTTACAAATATTGAAGCGTCCCAGATAATACGTCATTAGTATGCCCAAACACTCTGACCACCAGTATTATTAGCACTGTAGATAGAGTACTGTTTGCACCAGTAAACAAATCTGGCCAAGCAGTGGTTTGGTTAGGCAAACTCGCAGCACAAACAACTGTCGCTGGCCAGTAACTCCGAGCAACGTGACAATGCATCGAGTCAACTGCCTTTCTCAGCTTCACTATCGATTGCCATTAACTGAACTCTAATCCAATTAAAGTCAGCCGATCAATGGCACATCAACTGGAAGCTGGTTTGAGCTGCAGTCCAGCCAGCCTAGTAGCGGCACAAGTATCTGAAGGCGCACTGAGGTGAATTTGGGGGCATTTGCGACCAGGGGCACGTACTTGCGTACCCGCCAAAGGATATGCCTCACTAGGCACCGAAATCTCTGATTTGTCGCATTTAACTGTCGATTGCACAGCTTTTTTGTCTACCATTTGCTATTATTTTCTGTTCCTGTGCTGCATGCATTTGTCTGACTTTAAACTTCTGCCTATCGGCAAGCTTTGTTACGTTTGCTAACTGTAGCACTGTTGCTACTTTAATGGTTCAGCAATGAAACATTTGGTATCATTGCGAGCAATTGCTCAAGGCATCAGCTTCGTTATTTGATTCTAACTACTTTACACATTTCTACACTGGTTGCTGCGGTAAGTACGTGACGATGATTGCCTATTCGCTGCCCCATAATCGGGTAATAATTCAGTCAAGAAGAAAACACTTTTTTTCGCTGATTAATAATAGAGTGATGATAAAAAAATGGCTAATTATCAAATAACATTCTCTACTTTGCAGTGATCCACAATTTGTTAGATTTTAAAATTGTTGTTTTAAAACAATTTACTATTTGAATAAAATGTTACACTTTAAAAAATTTATTCAAAAACTAAATTTATTTTATGTAGTTGAGCAAATCTCCTATTTTTCAATAGAATCAGTGATTGACAAAAATTAGATAAAGTAAAACGACTGTCAAAATGACTAGCTTTAATAAGCTTAAATAAACTGTCACTTTTAAACTTGAAAGGGTTTTACTTTAATTTTTGCTGGTAAGTGAATATTACTAGAAAAAATGATTAACCTGAATGGAATATTCATTTTTAACACTGTTCACCTCATTCCATTATTTACTTGGCTGTTCATTTGCATAAAAAACTCTTAATTGCTTCAGGGTTTCAGTTTTAGGAAAATTGAAGGAGACCAGTGTACGAAAAATGCCATGGCACCCGACTCGAGTTTTGTTTCATACAAAACGGCAATTTGCTAAATACTGTGAATATTTGCTGTTGAGAATGTTCTACTGAAACACGAACAACTACTGAAACACTACGAGAGAAGGAGGGAGAGAACGAGGCCGATGACTATGGCTAGATGATATCGATCTGTGTTCATTGTCACTGTACTGTAATTATGCGCTCACTAATTTACGCACAGTTGAAGTGTTTATCGGATCGTCAAACAGTAATGAACATGATGGCAATAAAACAGTTTTGGTAGCATGTGCTATTGCCAAGCTGCGGCGTGCCAAGCAGTCGTCGGCATCGATGTCGTTGCTGGCCACAAACTGGCACGTTGTTGTTGTCTATCTATTCGTTGCTTAGCCCTTTCCTACGCACGAAGTGCCTGTTTTGCGATTGGCAAAGCTGCTTCAGGCTGCAGATGATAGGAGCTTCAGTTTGGGTTGCACTTGCTGCCCTACCAACATCACCGCCAGCATAAACGACAACAGCAGCAGCAGCCACCAGCAACCAGCTTTCAGGAGAATACGCTGTGAATCGATGCAAAAGCGACGCTCTGTTTGTCTTCTTCTTCTTCGTCTTCATTCACTTCTTTATTTTTTTCTCTTTTGTCCTCCCTGCCCTGATCTCTGCTTTGTGATGAGTTGACATGTACGACAGTGTACGAGTACACTCACGCCCTAGTAACATGGCCCACAGAGCAGCCGACACCGTTCAGTGTTGGCCCTGGTCGGCTACCCACTAATGACAATTGCCCCCTTTGTGCCATTAGGCTCAATCGTTAATACCTCCACTGCTTTGTCCTCGCATCTATTGTTTCTTTTCCACTGCTGCTGCTGCTGTTGCCCTTCTCTATTGCCCACAGTGCTCTTCTCACTATTCTGCACATTCTGTCTCGTCTTTTTCTCACTAATATGAATGCCTTTTCTTTTTCCTTTTTGCTTCTCTTTCATTGCAGTTTCCCGACCATGGTTTGAACCGACTGACAGAGAGGTTGTACCTCTTTCGACACGACTACACTTCAGAAAACATGCTACTGCCAATAAAAGCCGTTTCCGATGTCTCGGAAGGATCTCTCATTGAGATTGTCGTTTCAGGTAAAACAATTTTTATTTTGTTAAATTGCGTTTGCGTAGATGCCGACGTGTTTTTGGTGTTTTTCCAATTTCGTTTGCCCATTTTTAACTGCAATTTCCAGCTGCGGCCATTCACAACGGCCAACTACTCAGTCTGAAACTAAATCTCGAACATCTTTGCAAACTCTTGCATCAGCAGCAGCATTAGCAGCTGAAAGAAATGAGTGCACTCTCAAACCGACAGTGAATGCGGCACTGCTGTGTACACATTCTCCTGCAACCAACCACTTTGTTGGAATTAAGTGCGATCCGCTCTTTGACTTGGCTTAACGATTAGGAACTCGGCAGTCTAATGCAGTCTGCTTACTCCTCTTTCCCAACAGTACTCTTCTGAGATTGCATTACAGCAAGTGTAGAAGCTGGTGGTGCTTCTACTGGTGCTTTAGCTGATGAGACCATAGAGAATGAGCCAGAAAATGAAAATGCCAAATATGCGTTCACCTTTGCAATGAGTTTGAGAAATGGACACGGAATTAATCAAAACCGCATCTCTGCTTGTCCTCCACTTCAGTCAGTGAGCGGTTTGCCAGTGACAGCAGTCCTGCTTCTGTCTGCTAAGAATCGATCAATTGTCAGAGCCGCAGTAGAGAGGAGTAGAAGAAGGAGGCAAAGGAGGCAGTAGATGACAAGTGCAGTGAGCCAGTGCAGAGTCGTCCAATGCACACGGACACACTTTTAGTGACTGCAACTTATGCAATTAATATCAGCAGCTATCTATCTTCTGGCGTTGAATGTGCACGAGGAAAAGACAATCAACGTCTTCAAGGACCGCTAGTACGGCTTCTCCGTAGTCGAAGTCACCTTTCAGCTTGTGCAGGCACCACTTGGCTGTCCTTCCTTTCGCTGCACGTGTGTGGCTCACTCTTTGCAGTGTTTTCCACTCAATGTCTACTACCGGTTTGGCGTTTTCGCTCACTTTCTCACTCTCCTCATTCGCAGTCAATGTCACCGATTCGTAGGCTTCCATCCCCTCTGTTGCGCTTCTCTGCTTGTACGATTCGCTTGTGATTGAGATTTGCCAGTTCTGATCGGTTTTGCTGTTGCTGAAAGCCGTTACTCGCAACAGAAGTTAGTCCTGCACGATAGTGCCTGTTTATAATATAGATGAAAAGTCACATTAAATTATCAACCGAGCTAACTGCAATTGGCATCGATCGCTTTCGATTCGATCGACGTCAAACTGTCTGTCTGACAGCGTTAACTGCTCGTTTAATCTGCTTGTCGTTTCAACTAATCGCTCAATTTTACTTTTTTTCTTTTACAGCAAACCCTCCGTCGGATACGGTCCAAATTCGCCCGCATTCTCTAATCATCCACTCGTACAAATCTCCAACATTTTGTGATTTTTGCGGCGAAATGCTCTTTGGTCTCTTTCACCAGGGTCTCAAATGCGAAGGCTGCGGTCTGAATTACCACAAACGCTGCGTCTATAAGATTCCCAACAACTGCACTCACGGTCGACGTCGTCGCTCCTCTACTTACCTAATACCCCTCAGTCCTACCGGTGATCCGGTCCAACGAACGACCAGCTCCGGATCGCTCATAAGCGACATCAAAGTAAGTTCCATCTCCGCCATCTCGGCTGCATATCACTGGCGGCACATTGCGTCTGTTTGCTTTGTGTGGAGTTCCGTCTGCCATGTTTTCCTTTGCTGTGAAACCCCTCTAAACTAAACTAAACTAAACTAAACAAGTGGAGCTGAAGGGACGATTGAGGAAGTGCCAAATGACAGTTGCTGAGTGGCATGAGCCGCTGTGCAAGTGCGCCGTTCTAGCTGTCTAGTGCTACTGCAATCGATTTTTATCGAGCCTAGAAGCCTCTAACTCTAATTTGCTGAAGACCACCATCCATTTAGCTGCTCGCAAATCTGTGCCCAGTTGAATATTCTCATTACCATAATGCACTGAGACTCTGCACTGCTTCTATTCTCTTGGGTTTTCTCTTCTAATTTTGCGGGATGTGTTTCATTTGTCTGTGCGACAAAAACGAGGACGGCTACTGTTGTTGCTGCTGCCACTGCCGCCGCCACTAGAGCTGGCACTGCTACGTCTTTTGTATTGTCTTGCTAGTCGGCTTGGCCACTAACTTGGCTTACCTCTCCCCATGAGGTACTCCTAAGGTTCTCCGGCAAAAGGTTCCATTTATTGCCTGAAATTAAATTATTTACAAGATTTTCCTGCTCATAGATGACAGAGGCAATAATTTGTTTCCTGCCGTGAAATATGTCTGTGCCGGGTGTGTGTGTGTGTGTGTGCATGGGCAATTGTGCAGAGGCCTCTGACTGCTGCTGCTGCTTCTGTTGGTGGTGGTGAAGAAGAGGCCGCACTTTGCTGGTGCTGGTGTTCTTTGCCGCCTCTTCTGCACCGTACTTGCTCTGTCCACTTCAGGTTGCTTGTTCTGGGCGCCCTACGCACACGTCTCACTGCCTGGAACAGTCCTCACTTGCAGCACTCTGGCGCTGAGCTTTGAACTGAAAATGTAGTGTGTCCAATGCTGTGTCAAATTTCTAAATGGTTTGTTTGCCTGTCGCCGTTTGCCGCGTCTGTTGACTGCAGTTATCACAATTTGAATGTCAGTCCGAATCAGGCAGCCGACGGCGGCCATCTTTTTACAGTCTAAATTAGCATCAAAAACTGCTCCTCAGAGCAACCTTTGTACAGTGCTCAACAACATTGTGGTGTTGATGGAAGAAAGCACACATTTAGTAGCTGGTGGTGATGATGATGCCGATGCACCAGTACTCGGCACCAAGAATGATGCGCTCCAGTGACTTGTTTGCTCTAAAAGGAAAACACCACTAACAAAAGAGCGAACATGGAGACTCCAGAACCTAGATCATTTCAATGTGTGCTGAGTGATGTCAGAGACTACCAGTAGGGCCTACTTTCTCTTTGTACAGTAGCCATCTCCTTCCCCTCCCTTGATTCGGCCATTCTTTTAGACGATGTGTGCACTGCCTTTGTTTGGCACTGCATCAGCCATTCAGTCTAGTGCCGCCAACAGTCATTGCTCCTTCTCCTTTCAATTGGCCACCCAACCTGTACGCTTCCCTCCAATCGAAGAGTGGCAAATCAATTCTCCCGCTCCCTTCTGTTTGCCACCGTTTCTATTCACTAGAAACAAACATTTATTTTCAATTTAACTATTTTTTACAATGTCGGTGTCATATTTAATTGAACAATTGCCAAAGTAAATAATAAAAAAGGACACTTACTAGTTTTCACTTAAGAGTTGTGAATTGTGACAACCAGTCAAACCAAATACAGGAATATGGACTAGTTTAGTGTTAAAATTTTTGAATTTTTTCTTTATTCTAACTCTTTATGCAATTTTCTGAATAAATATAATTTGTTATTGCCTTGTCAAAGTGTGCCTACTAAAAACTGAAAATACAAATTTAAAGTTATTTTGAAGTAAAGTTTGGTCATTTGTGCTGAAACCAGATAGGTTTGCTTGGGAATTAAATATTAATGAAACGACAACGTTGAGCAAGCCAATTTATCAATCCTGCTATATCTCTAGTCAGTGCTTTCTATACTTTACTGGTTAAAATAAACTAAAATCTAGCTTCATTCTTTTATATATTTGGTTTCTTTCGTTTTATCTTTTATTACTGCGAGTTTTTACTGTTTTAGTTTAGCTACTTTAATTTAAAAAAATACTATTTTTGTAGAAAATAACAAAGCAAAACGCAGTTCCACATTAAAGACACTTTTTCATATTTCTCTTAAACAGTTCAATAACAAATAAATAAATCATACTGTCTGTTTATTTCAATCTGTTTTCAACTGTTTTTGTCTTACAATTGGCACCACTACTGCGATGCTAAAATGAGTTTGGTTTAACATCGCCAAACTCTTATTGTTTTTGAGTGAAGAGAATTACAAAAACACGCCTGAATTGTCCTTAAAAATGTCAAGTATTTTTGCATTTGTATTTTTTGCAACGAAGTTATTAAATTGCAAAAGAATTGAACTGCTTGCTTTTAATTGCAACCACGGAAAGTTACTTTCTTTGAGTGGCAATGTAGTTGTCGGTGTTGCAAGTACCGTACTGCGGATCTATTATTTAGTACTTTTTCTTTCTCTTTTGGCACTAAATTTGCCTTTCGTTTTTGACTCAACTTCAAGTGTGTTTGTCGTTCTTTTAAAACGAAAAACCACCGTTTTACTTTCATTGGTTGTCATGAGCAAATTTGCATAAATTTTCACATTGGAATTCAAACCAGTTTCTACAGTAAACATTGTTAGCTTTTCTACAACTTTACTTCACTGCAACAATTAAAAACAATATAAGTTGACGTTTGTGCGCTTTTCTATTCTAAACACTACCATTAAATTTTTATTATAAAAACTGCTAATTTCATGCGTGTGTGATTTAAAATGACATTTTGTCTAGTTAAACTTGACAGCTTAGTTTCCACTGTCTTAAATTAGGATCACTTGTAATGATTAATAATCGCAAATGATCTGACAAATGAACAGTAATTGTGGTTGATGGCGACAGTAGAACAGTTTTGGGCAGTCTTTTGGCACTGAACAAGTTCTTTTGCAAATCGATTGTCCATATTTTATCGTTTTTCGCCATTTAATGTGACACTTCAATGGCCATCTCTGCTGGAGTCGCTGCAATGGAGCTCAGCAGCCATTGATAGCTTATAATATCACAAGTTGCCACTCTCCACTGTTCAATACTTGACTAGCATTTAATCATTTTATAGTATTACGTTTCAGACAAACTTTGCCCTTTTTCTAAAGTTTGAGCAATCTGCCAGTGACAGCGTATTGCACGTTAGAAATTACCAGCTAGGCTGATGCTGCTAAATTAGCTGAAGGCAGAGAACTTTACCGCAGAAACTTTGAATTTTTCGCTTTGAAAGTACATAATCTTGGCGGTAACAAGTTTTTATTATTAAGAGCACCCACTATATGTGCTGCTTGTTTATTAATTCTGTCACTAAGCTTTCTCGTCAGAAAGCTGGTGGGTTGCTGCTTCTGCTGTTGCTGTTGCTGCACCACTAACGGAAAAGTTTGCGTGTCGCGTAGTGTACTCTGCGCAAAAAAGAGGTTTGCTACTGAATTATTTGTTCTCGTCGATGCACCGACAAGATGATGCGGAAAGTGCAGAGACAAGTTGCTCTTTTACTGCTCCAAAAGTTGCTGCAACACTACAGGCATTGATTCATTATGTGATGCGTGTTCCTAATATCTGTTTGAGGCAATTACGGTTTGGGCAACACTCGGTGTTTCTCTGGCGCCTCTCTTTCTCCCTGGTCCAGTGGCAATGCATCATAAGCACGTTGCTTAGCTATTTGATCGACGGACAGTTGGGCGGTGAAGTGAACAGAGCAGAATCGGGTCCGCACTGTTGGCCACTGAGCTCTCTTCACAGCATTTTGTTTTGGTGCATTACATAACTTTGTCTATCAGACCACGAAGTGTATGGTTTCACTGAAATGTAGCAGTATGTGCTCATTAGAAGAGGCTCTAATTCCAATTTGCCCAGTCAGCCGAGTTACAATTTGATTAAACAATGGACAGTTCAGAGCAAGCGGCACTTTAAGAGTACCGTTTTTATTAAATTACATTGTACATTGCTTTATTCTAGCCAACTGTACTCTTTTGATACAATTTCTTCTGCTCAATTTCAGTCATTTCAAGCAGCAGAAACTGAACCAATCCTAGCATAAACGAAATTTTTTTAACTACATTTACTCTCTTGTTGCACTTTTAAAAGCTTAAAACAACTGTATTTTAACATAGGCTGAAACTTTTCAAAATGATCCAGCCGATATCACTGTCATCCTCTGTTTGCACCTGTCTATTAGTGATGGCCAATTGTGACTTCCATCGTGCGCCACTTGATATTGTTAAACACCACCAAAGGTGGGAATCGTGTCCACTTTTTCGCTGTAGCTACACAGCCAACGCTAGAGGGCGCGTAACGTTGGCTGTGTAGCTACAGCGGAAAAGTGGACACAATTCCCACTCTTGGACACCACTGTTATTAATTGTAATAACCTTTTTCAATGAAAAAATTTATTTTAAAGAGTTTGAGTTTAATTTTGACCTTTAGACAATATTTATTACTGCAATTGAAACTTGAAAAAGCACTGTTTTAAGTTTTATGTTTTGCGTGACTGCAAGTAATATAATATTCAGTTAAAACCACATGTAATTAAATAATTACATAGTTTTGGAAAATACCTCGAATGAGAAAAAGTACAGTAAACCAGTGTACTTCCGCTTTGGAGTGTGACAGCCATGTGCTAAAGAGAATTAGTGAGCTTTGCTCTGAAAACGTAGAGAATACTGCATTTGAAATATTGCAAACCTGTGAGTTTTTCTCTAATACCTCAAATTTACTTGTCTGCTCAATGAGCATGACAAATTCGCTAGGCATAGTTGATGGCTTTCTATATCAATAATTTAATCTTATGAAATTTCTCCATTTTTTTCTACAGAACAGCAATTTACTCGGAACATCGCCTGTTCGTGAGCGGCGGCAAATGTCTACCTCGACCAGCATCGTTTCCAGTAGCTCTTCTCAATCAAATGTCTCTGGTCGACCAGCCTGGGTGGAGAAAGAATTGGCTGACCGAATTCGAGTTCCACACACTTTTGTGGTTCATTCGTACAAACTGCCCACGGTTTGTCAGTACTGCAAAAAGCTGCTGAAGGGCATTTTCAAGCAAGGCTACCAATGCAAAGACTGCAAGTTTAATGCGCACAAAAAGTGCATCGACAAGGTGCCAATGAACTGTGCGGGAGAAGCGCCAAAGGAGTGGCAGGAAAGAGAATGGCTGGAGAATCCCAAAGATGAGTACGCCGATGATATGAACAATGAATCGGACGTTGAGTGCGACAACAGTGCACTGGATAACAAGTTTGACTTGAAGGCAGAAGACAGCGGTATCAATGTGAGCATCAACCTGCCCAGTCCGGTCAACAATGGACACGACATTGCAGGGATAGACGACGAGTGCCAACAGAATAAACATGTCAGGTAGGATCTTGTAAAGAGTTCAGTCATTTTTAGTTTATTTTTCATACTGATTGTTATTTCATCATTTAGCGATACAAGCAGCAGCAACATTAAGTTGATGAGAATTGTGCAAAGTGTGAAGCACGTGAAGCGACGTGGATCAAAAGTGCTTAAAGAAGGATGGGTCAGCCACTACACAAACAAAGACCAAACTGTAAGTGAACTATGAAAAACTTTAGAGCCGACAATTTACAACCAATGTTAATTTTGCCTAGAAACGAGACCATTACTGGCGTCTGGACACAAAAGCAATTACTATGTTCAAGGATGCCGTTTCTTCCAGCTACTTCAAGGAGATTCCACTTTCTGAAATTCTGCAGATTATCTCAAACAACAACGCCTCTGCCAACAACAATGTGAGCAGCCCATTTCCGTACACCTTTGAGTTGAAAACTCAAAATGTGAGCTACTACGTTGGCGACAATGGCGATGCTGCTCGCTCTTGGGAGCACTCACTGCGACAAGCTCTGATGCCAGTTCTGTCCTCAGGAGAAAACAAGGAGATCTCCAGAAACAACCAACGACCGGCGGTCAACAACGGCAACAACTACCCAATTGATGAGAACCAGAATCAGAATGCAGACATTTTACAACAGTATCATATCTTTATTGATGAAATACTAGGCGCTGGACAGTTTGGCACCGTCTACAGCGGCGTTCATCGCACAAGTGGCCAGGCAGTGGCCATTAAAATCATCGACAAGTCTCGCTTCCCGACCAAACAAGAGGCTCAACTGAAAAATGAGGTTTCCATTCTCCAGAACATCTCTCACCCGGGTGTCGTCAATCTGGAGAGAATGTTTGAGAATCCAATGAATATTTACGTTGTCATGGAAAAGCTCAGTGGCGACATGCTGGAGATGATACTGAACAGTGAACAGGGCAAATTGTCGGAGCGAGTCACTAAATTTTTAATTTACCAAGTAAGCAACAGAAAAATATTGCAAGGTCAACAAATTATTTATTTAAATGCCTTTCCTGTAGATTCTGGTTGCTTTGCGATACTTGCACTCTCAAAACATTTGCCATTGTGATTTAAAGCCAGAGAATGTTTTGCTCTCTTCCAACTGCGAGTTTCCACAAGTAAAGCTTTGTGATTTTGGATTTGCACGCATCATTGGAGAGAAATCATTTCGTCGCAGTGTCGTCGGTAATGACTGATTTGACGCTGTGAAAGTTTACTGATACTAAAAGGCTACTCTTTCAGGCACCCCCGCATATCTTGCACCTGAAGTTCTTCGAAACAAGGGCTACAATCGATCTCTTGGTAAGCAGAAACAATGATTTTACGTTGCAAAAACTATAATTGTCTTGTCATGTTTTGTGTGCACTTGTACAATAGACATGTGGTCAGTTGGCGTGATCATCTACGTAAGTTTATCAGGAACATTTCCATTCAACGATGGAGAAGATATTCAAGATCAAATTACTAATGCTGCATTTATGTAGTAAGTATTTTGCTACCTTAAAGCTTGTCGGTGTGATAAAAACAAAACTTTTCTTTTTAGCCCACCTGAAACCTGGCAAGACATTTCACGCCATGCTGTGTATCTGATTGACAACTTGCTTAAAGTCAAAAGACGCCTGCGTTACAGCGTTGACAGATCACTCAATGATCCATGGCTTGATGTAAGATTGCAAAATGTTTGCTGGCTACTTTATCTAAATGTTAAAAATTGATGTTTTTAAAACAGGATTACAATGTGTGGTGCGATTTGAGGCGGCTAGAAATGAGACTTAAAGTACGTTGGCTTACGCACGAGTCAGACGAGGAACGCTGGGAAGCATATCGTGAGAAACACAAGCTGCCAGTGAACGACTTTGGGCCAATTATCAGCAGTTTATATCACGAGGAGCACTCGAACGACGATGAGAATCGTGATAAGTTCACTACAGGCAATTCATTTCGGCGTTCCCGTCCTGAAGTGAACAACACCAATGGAAACTCGCCCGGTTGTGCTGCCAACAATAATGGTGGCCAATTCCCTTTCCACAACGACACTGCAAATAGCCGGCTCTGAGCAGCACTCTGATAAAAAAATTTAAAAGCATTTATTCAAACAAATGACCACGACGTTCTAATTTGACACTTTTACAAAACTACCCATTGATTTCCTCATTGACTTTTCACCAGTGCTTTTCCCTTGGCTACAAATTATCCCATTAGCTGTGCCTCAACAAAGCATAATCATTCCGAAACAACGAATATTGCAAACAATATCATCATTTGATATGCCGAATCGTTTGTTCTCGTCCCCATTTCCTTTATCTGTTTTCATTCCCCTGTACAAAACCAAGTGTTTGTCTGCACAAAACCACCGTCACTCTCGGTGGTCACACATTGGCACAATCAATCAACCCTTCAGTGGCCAAGCATTTTTAGACAAACGCCGGTAATGCCAACTTTTGGTTTACAAACCTTTTTGAATTTTCCTTTTCCATACCAATTGAATTTTTTAGAATTTTCTAAATATTTTTAAATCTATTTTATAATTTTTGTGATTTTGTCATATTCAGCTTTTTGCTTGTTTGAAATGTTTTCACATGCGACTAATATTAATAAACAAGTTGAAAAACATAAAACAAAAAGTCATAAAACTAAAGCTCCCGTTTATGGCTTTAAAGTTTCGAAATTGAATTTTGAATTAACGTTTTTGTTACAAAAATAACATAATCTAAAGCTTTAGTAATTGAAAAAATAAACTGAATAACAGTAAAACTATTTCGATGTTTAAAAATATTTGTAACAGCATATTTAAAATAATATAATTTGTTGTGCATTACATAAATTGTATAGAGGACTAAACGTTTGTCTATGCTAATTTTGATGGTAATTTGCGTAGTTGTTGAGCTCAAAGGAAGATCAAATTTCGATTTCAACTTTTATCACATGATAAAAAGCTGCAGTTGCTCTTACAATCTTATCGCTTTTCATAAACAATTCAAGCCAAATTCAAGTCATAAGATTTCAAGTTATGGCATTTTGCTATGCGTTTTTGTGCAAACCCGTCAAATGTACATCGTAATATTTTTCCTCTGCTAAAACAACATGAAGTTTTACTTTTATTTTGCATTTTTAATGCTTTCGAGCATTCCAACCAGTTCTGCCTTTACCGTCGCAATACCAGAAACCGAATTGGAGTTTCTCAGAGAAATGATCGGCCCTGAAGATGAAATTGGAATAGAAACCAGCCGACAAAAAAACCTAAGCGACTACTCTTGCTATGAAAATGGTCACAAAAGAAATGAATATTGGGCGTTAAGGTGGGAAGATCAGTTCAAGAAGGAGACATTTGATGACTGGGCAATGGTGGTGGAAAACAAGTACTGTTCTGGTAAGAGACTTTCTTTAAATAAAATAAATCGTTAGTAAGTTTACTTCACTGCGCAGGCCATGGAGTGGACCACGTCTCGTGCGACGTTTCCAGTAACATCGCCATACGCTCTGGGGCACTGGTTCTCAACGCAGCTCAGCAAAAGTACTACGCCCACGACTACACCGGCGCACAGGTGTCCACCACCTTCTCGATGGTTTTTGATCGAATTGATATTCGTGCGGCGCAGCCTCTGGGCAGCCACCTGCACACCTCCATGTTCGCCTACAATGACCAGTCGGCGGAGATGAGACGACTGAAGCAGTACGCACACAACTTCTTCGTCATTGACCTCAGTGATTACAAGCAGGATGTTGGCTGGATCGAGATAGCCAGCCACACCCAACGTCCTAGCATTATGCATGGCATTCACCAGCAAAAGTTCGCAGATAAAGCCAACGCCGACCACGTGTACAGAGAAGTAGAAATGGATGACCTGAACGAGTTTCACACCTATAGTTTGCGCTGGAACGATAGTTTAGCGCAGTTTTCCTTTGACCAGAATCTTACTGAGCCCTTTTCAAATCATCTCAATCGCATCAACACACCCTTTCAGATTGTCCTCATGATCGGAGTTGGTGGAGATCACTTCAAAGAGCCAACAAACTCTAAGCATCTCAATTGGATCTGTCCGGCACTAATTGTTGACTACATTAGAGTGTTTGACAAAGTGAACCAGACAGGAGACCTACCTAAATGTCAATTTCGCGAACCACTTTCCAACGATGTAATTGAAGACATTTGTCAATTTGCTCTAAGTAAGTCAGAGTCGCTGACTGACACTTCGAAGACTGAAAAATCGATCACTAGAGACATTTCAAGACCTTCAAAAGTAGCCCTCATTTCTTCTATAGTTTTAACCAGCATGCTTCTTATTTTCATAGTCATTTTTGCTCTCATTAAGCTTGGTGTTCTTGAGAATCCAATTTCAAAGTTGAGAGCGATGTATTCAAAAGATGAATCTATCATTGGCTATGATAGACAGGCTGATGCTCACTCACAGTCGCAGACAGAAGTGAATGAATTTATTGCTAGAGACTTTTAAAAGTAATTTAAAATTAAAAACTTTATATTTATAAACAAATTAAATAAATATTTGCTTACAAAATGTTTTAGAAATCTTACAAAACTAGACAAATATAGCATTGATAAAACCTTTCCCCCGATTGCTGTATAATTTAGGTGCATTGCTGACACTGCAACAACAAACTCAAAGTATGAAACTTGTTATTTAAAACTGTGTTTTCAAAGAGTAAAATAATGTGCCTATCGAGTCAAGAAACCCTGTGCTTTGTGGTTGTTTTCAAGGTCATATCTTTGGTCATATCATTTTTATTTACATTGATGTAAGCAAACAAAAAAATTAGAAGCTGAAAACGGTTTTATTTATGTTTTGATCTGGCGCTTGTTGACGTAGCTGCTCTAAGACTTAGATAACATCAAGCGGCTACTTTTTGTTATCATTGAACAACTTATCAACAACTGGAATTAGTCCTGCACCAGAGGACACTGAAAAGGACGAATGATGAGTGTTGACGCAGTTAATCAGAAGAAGTAGCAAGTACAGCAGATGATATTGAGCAAAATTGGATGCCAATCAAACTGTTTGACTCAAACAACAACTTTTCAAGACAACACAAACAACTTATACTGATGCAAACAAGAATTCAAATGTTCAAACAATGAGACTGAAAAACTTCTTAACATTGTGTGCGCTGATTGTTTTTGATATTTTCAGTTTTTGTTATTGCAGGAGCACACCTAATTCGACAGGTTTACTTAAAAAACAAAATGAAACATTTTGTTATGTGACAGACAATGATTCCCAAACTGACTGGCTGCTAATCTGGGAAAGCCATTTTAGAGACGATGATGTTCTGAGCAAGTGGAAGGTGGAACAGGAGGGTGTCTATTGTTCAGGTATGTAGAACACAGTAACAATGATTGAATTTTTTTAATTGGAAAGTCATTTTCTTTTTTTAGGAAACAACGTTCAAGCAGAGTCGTGTAACACTAAAGAGAATGTTTTCATCCATCGTGGAGCAATGGTTTTGGCTGCCAGACACAAAAATCACTACACTCGTTCTTTCACGGGTGCTCGCGTAACTTCTCCATTATTACTTCCAAACAATCCCGTCTCAGAAAACATTCGCTTCGAAGTTCGAGCGGCAATGCCTGTAGGAACACAAATTTTTGCTTCCATTTTTGCCGTCAACAAGTCCGACACTTATGAGTTTGGCAAGTACAGCTGGTTTGAGTTGGCCACCAACAGGCAGCAAAGTGTCATCGGACATGGTGCCCACTTTTATNAGTAAACAAGTCCGACACTTATGAGTTTGGCAAGTACAGCTGGTTTGAGCTGGCCACCAACAGGCAGCAAAGTGTCATCGGACATGGTGCCCACTTTTATCACCCAGGAGCCTATCCGGATGTTCAACGGGAATATACTAATCTACAATTGAATCATTTTCAGAAATATGAGCTTACCGTAAATCGCAGTCATAGTTCACTGGGCGTAAATGGAAACGCTTCTTTTGTAATTTCTAATATTTATCCAATCGACTTGCCAAGTTACAACTTGATCTTTGTCATTGGCGTTGGTGGGGCACATTTCAGGCAACCGGTACCCGTTGACTTTTCAGCCCTAAAATGGATTTGCCCAGCACTGGTAATTGACTACGTTCGCGTTTATGAACAAACGAGCTCTATAAGAAACCCCAAAAAATGTCCATTGCTAGAAGAAAGCTCCAATGAAATGCTCGATGATATTTGTGTGGTTGCATTAGAGCACTCAGTAAATAACACTGAGGAAAATGTAACTGGAAGCAATGTCAGTTTTGCTTTGATTACTTGTATGTCTATTATTCTTATATTGTCATTTGGTCTTTTTGCGTATCTTTTTATTAGAAGTGGCAAGTTTTCTAATACTAGAATGCAAATTGGTAACAATTCTCAAAACAATGAGGATTTTTCATTTATTTACAACCGAACAAATGGAGAAAGCTTAATTAATAATGGATTTGATGGAAATTAAAATTACCAAAAACGTTTAACGTTTATTTTTACAATTTTTTGTACAATTTGTTGAAGGCTAATAAATAAAAAATTTGTCCTAGTTTAAAAAATTTTCAATCCAAAAATATACCAAGCACTATCAATTAGTCTCATTTATTTTTTATTGTTTAAAAAGCTCGTATTTTCAATCAAATACATGCTCAATAATTTGATTGCAGAATCTAAGTGTCAGAGCCGGTAAAATGCTAAAATTATTAAAACCGCCATATTATTTGAAAATCAAACAATAAAAACTTTTTATCATAGGTTTTTTGTTAATTAAAATGTCTGCCCTCAACTTGCTCATCACCAAGTTTACTCTGGGCTCTTATCTACTTCAGCTACTTGTCTATAATTATGATACAATCACTAGTGACACATTTGACCAGGTAAAAAAATTGCGTAATTGTAACTACTTTGTTAATGTTAATTGTACAAAAGATCTACGATTACATCGTAGTTGGTGGCGGTTCAGCAGGTTGCGTCATTGCGGCACGTTTGTCGGAGGATCCCAATATTAAAGTGCTTCTTTTAGAAGCTGGTGGCTCAGAAAATCTCATCTCTGAGGTGCCATCTTCAGCGATGCAGCTTCAGGGCACTTCAATGGACTGGCAGTACGTGACAGTTCCTCAGCAGAACTCCTGTCGAGGCCTCACCGGCGGCTACTCAAAATGGCCTCGTGGCAAAGTGCTCGGTGGCTCGTCGACAATTAATTTCATGATGTACATCCGAGGAAACCGACACGACTATGACAACTGGGCAGCAAGCGGCGCCACTGGATGGAAATACGAGGACACGCTTCCCTACTTTATCAAATCTGAAGATAATCAAGACGAAGACATTGCTTTAAACGGATACCATGGTCAAGATGGCCCATTGACGGTGATGAGGACAAAGTATGTCAGTGAACTGGCAAGGTCATTTGTTGAAGCAGGCACAAGTTTGGGTAAGGACGTTCTACCTGTTAATTTCCGAATCTGAACACTGCATTTTTACTTTCAGGATATTCTGAAGTTGACGTGAACGGTCGTGACCAAATTGGCTTCTCTGTTGCACAAACGACAACGCGAAATGGGGCCCGTTGTTCAACTGCCAAAGCCTATCTTGGAACCGCAAAGGGACGGCCTAATTTGCATACGCTTCTTTTTGCTTTCGTGGTGAAAATTCTTTTTAATGAGAGGAAAGAAGTTACTGGAGTTATATTTGACCGTTTTGGCGAACGACTAACGGTGTTTGCCCGCAAAGAAGTCATTCTTTCAGCGGGCTCAATAAACTCTCCAAAGCTACTTATGCTCTCAGGTATTGGCCCAAGAAGACAGCTTCAACAGCATGGAATTTCAGTTTTGGCTGACCTCCCCGGTGTCGGAGAAAACCTGCAAGATCATGTCTATCCGGTGGGAATAAACTTCCTGCTGGACAAATCTAAAAAGAAACCAAATGAGCAGTGGGCGTACATTGAGTCAGATGTGCTGACAATACCAAACCTCTCCAATTGGATTCTATTTGGAACAGGGCCACTGGGAGCTGCTTCAGGCTTGGAGGGCACTGCATTTATTCGGACATCATTCGCAAATCAGTCCATGCCTGATTATCCTGACTATCAGATACTTTTCATTAGTGGCTGTCTAAATGCAGGTAAGGGTTTGGCGTAAATACCCAACATGATTTACATATCTGTCCTGGAAATATGGTTTTTAGAAAGTCGCATCTCTTTTAACATTAACGACGAACAGTGGGAACGTTATTTCAAGTTTTTCGCCGATGAAGAATGCTTTTTCATGTTCCCTACACTACTCAGACCCAAAAGTCGCGGGTGGATTCGCCTGAAGAGCGCCAATCCGTATGAGAACCCAATCATTAATCCTCGATACTACTCAAACCCTGATGACCTCGAATCAATGGCCGAAGCGATGATGTTTACCTTATTTCTCGGTCAAAGTGAACCCTTTCAGCGGCGGTACAGCACCAATTTAAGCTCGTTAGCAGTGCCGGGATGCGAACACCACCAGCTGTACAGTGGAGCGTACATGAAGTGCTGGGCGCAAACCTTAACCGGAACGGTGTACCACCCCGTGGGAACCTGCAAGATGGGAACAGTCAGCAGTCGCATGACCGTGGTCGACCCTCAACTTCGAGTGAAAGGCGTCAGACGTCTGCGAGTGGTTGACGCATCCATAATGCCCACCATTGTCAGCGGAAACACTAATGCAGCTACGGTAATGATTGCAGAAAAGGCAGCAGATTTGCTGATAGGTCGAAAGTTGAAACCAATGACTGCATTCTAACTAGAGAGCTGAAAACCTGTCATTGAAGCGGTGGTAAGTTTGCCACAAACTTCATTTATTTATGGGAAATAATAATAATGTTACAAATTCGCATTTAAAACTCGCAAAACGCATATTGTTATGAAACTGTCACCATTCCTTAATCCTTTTCAGCAATGCTACTCAGGTGCTTATCAATCTCCGCCTCGCCCATGATCTTGAAAAGCCCGTCTGAACCGACCACACCAACCTGCAACTCGGAAGAGCGAAAATCAACGGCTAGTACCTGGGCAAGGGTGGAGATGGCCATCTGAATTGCCTCGTCATTGTTGTAGTCGGTTTTCTTCTTTAGCTTTTTCTCCAGGTGATTCTGCGCTTCCACAGACTTGACGCCCACTGAGCAGGCCTTGTATCCCGAGTAGTAACCGGCTGGGTCAGACTTGTAGACAAGAGGCTGGCCTAGAGAACAAATATCATTTTAAATTACTAATGACAAAATAATTTTCACTCCACAGTCCAACTCACCATCTTCATGGGCGATGAGAATGATGCTCACACCGAGGGGACGCATTTCAGCATTCTGGGTGTACACCTGAGCAAGGTCGGCAAGGCGACGGGTGAGCACTTCAATGGGAATCGAATAACCGTACTTGTATTTGAAGTTGGCTGCCTCATATCGGGCTCGTTGAACCAGATTGGCGCAGTCGGCTGGCATGCCGGTGACAACACAGCCAATGTTGGGGGTCAGTGCAAAAACATTGTTGATCGTGGAGGCCTCCATAAGCTTGTCAGGCACTTTGCGCTGGGTGACCACCACAGAAATATCCTTGCCTTTCAAACCGACCGAGGTGATGCCACTTTGGTTGATCGCTTTAAAAGCGTATTCTGTAAAGAAAAGACAGAATTAGTAAGATTAAAAGAAGCTAAAAGTTATTATCAGAAATCATAAAATTTGTAGAGTCATTGTCAATTGTCAAAGCTTCTGACACTTTTAAAATGGCCAATTTCTGCTTCAGACATTTTGCATTGATTTAACTCTTTTCTAAAGTTGCTAAACTTGCAGTACAGCTAAGATGTCAAAACAAACAAACAAAATGAAGATCTGTAAACACTCACCGACTTGATAAAGTCGTCCTTCGGGAGAGAAGATGGTAATATGACGGTCAAAACCGGCTGAACTTCCGCGAGACATTGCGCTCTTGATGATAAGAGTTGGACGGGGCGACAGAGAGAATCCAGGAACGTCTTTAGGAGAAAGTCTTCAAGCAGCTGTCAACTGAAGAAGCACTGGAGTCTCAATGAATCAGCTAAATAAAATCTCGTACACAAGCCGGCCAGCGGCTGGTGGGCTGTCATAGAGGACGACCCACTGTACTGCACTTCGAAAACGCACTTGTACAAAACAATTTTATCTTTTACAACTTTGTATGTTTTGCTGTGTCTCACGCACATGGTCCTTTAAATTACACCAAATCACATGCAAATTATTTATGCTGACATTATACTTGTCAGTTTATTTAATTTTCAGGTAAGTTTTTGTCGT